ACCACGCCACGAGGCGCTGTGTCGAACGCAAGGATTATTATTGCTGTTTTATAGGGATACAATCGAAAGAGGGAGCGAGCGAGCGAGAGGGAGAGAGAGAGAGAGGGGGAGGGAGGTAGGGGTTGTGTAGTGACTGCGTAGTTAGACCAGTGCCGTGGGAGCTTTGAACAACAACAGCTTGCATTTAACGAGGGCCCTTCACCCAACGGCGTGACGGCGCACGCTAAGAGTAACTCGGGATTAGAAAGGCGGGCAGGTAGCGTCCGTCCTGCAACCTCATTTAAAGTCCGTGCGCGCCCTCGGGCCGCTCACACGCGCACAAAACTGCTCCTGTGGAACCTTGTGCTGTGTATCCCGTGTAATCGTGGCGGCGGGGGGACGGGGGGTCGAGATGGAAACACTGCGCTTCAGTTGTTTGGGGGGTGGGACGGGGGGTCGAGATGGAAACACTGCGCTTCAGTTGTTTGGGGGGTGGGGGGGGGAGTGTAACCAAGGACTGCGTTTACAGCGCAAATGATCGTTCTGCCAGAGAAAAGGGCTGGATGTCCTTCATGTGGAGTCCTGTAGCTCAGTGGTTAGAGCCCTCGCCTGGCCGGCGAGAGGACCTGGGTATGATTCCCGGCCAGGGCCAAACCTTGAGCAGGTTTCCTTATTACACACACACACACCTGATGATAATCCCTCAAAAAAATAATAATAATAATAATAATTTGGTCGCTCAATCCACGACTGCCAATCACCTATCAACCGGGTTCCGACTCACTGCCTGGTAAACCGAGGTGTGGGGTGAGGAAACGCCAGAACGTTAACGGTTGTTAACGCAGCGTTGACCGTTACGGAAAAGACGGGGCGGTGATCGAGCAGATTTCGCGCTGACTGCAGGTTCGAGGGGCAGGGGCCAAGCACGGAGCTGTTGTAACACTACTCGATATCTGTGACCTTGATTACAAGGCGAGTTTCTCCTATTATTAGCTGCCTTGTCAGGCGCTTGCTGCAATGTGGGAGTTTGTTGTCATTTCACCAGGGTTGGAGATGACTTATCTTGCGAGGGTGAGGTGGAGTGGCCTTCTCCATCCTAATAATAATCCTTGCCTTTGATACCGGCGCCTCATCGCGTCTTCGAGACGGCCCGAGGTGCTTCGCGGGATGTACCGTGAAGCGAATTGGTCACTCAACCCCACGACCGTGTTTGTGGGGACGCTGCCGGTACGCGATCGGCTGCCGCGTTTCGCCCGCGAAACATACAGTCCCTGCACTCTGCAGCGTATTCCGCGAAGCGACTTGAGAACGGCTGTGTCAGGCGCCGGGTCAAATGCAAGGAAATGTGCCGCCACGTAATAATAATAATCGACCGGTATATTTTGTGGGCGCGCAGCCGTGTCCCGCAAACAGCCGTCTCTTGTGAACGCAGAGCGCCAGCTGGCCGTGTGCCGCACGAGGAGATAAAGGACTATTACAGAGACTGAATGATAAGATGGCATGCACCTCGCTCAGCTCCCGATCGGAGATTGCGATCCTTCAAGGACAACATTTACAGCAGGCGTTGCAGTGACACGTTGAGTGTGTTTTCTCTCTTTTTCGCACGACCCCCCCCCTCCACCCCCTCTCAGCTGCCCAGCCTCACGATTACCCCCTTTCATTGGGAACGCTCAGCAGGTCAGGTAACATCTATGGAGCGAGGAAAGTGAGTCAACGTTTCGGTTCCGCGGGCGGGCGGGAGGTGAATATAGGCACGGTCGAAGAGGAAGGTCTTCAGTCGCGAATGAAGGAAGGGGCAAGGAGGAGGGAGGGAGGAAGATTGTTCCAGAGTTTCGGGGCGTAGTGGCTGAAAGTGCGGCCGTCGATGGCGGAACGGAAGGCGCGAAGGGCAATGACAACAGCTACTTGCATTTATATAGCGCCCCCTCATACGGGGCAGAGCGCTTGACAAGTGGGAGGCCGGAGCCAGTCAAGTGGAGTTGGAAATACCGTAACGTACAAAATCCTCACTAGTGACTACACTTTACTGGTGGAGCACTTTGGGACGTGTCTGTTTGCTGCACCGATCTGGATTGCGGAGTGAGTGAGTGAGTAAGTGAGTGAGTGAGTTTCCAGGCTGCAATTTGCCCTTAAGATTCAGTTTCTCAGTTACCGTACGTAAGTAAATAGGTGTGATTTATGATGTTGGCTAACCTCAATTAGATTACACCCATCTTGCTTCCTCGATCTATATTTATTGCGTCTGCACTGAGCAAGGAGTCGGAACACAGATACTGCAGTACTGACGTCACAAGATAAGTTTAGATAAAGAACCTTGGCCCATTTGATGATGATAATAATAATAATAATAATCCTTGCATTTGGCACAGCGCCTTATCACGTCTTCGAGACGTCTCAAAGCGCTTCACAGGATGCACTGTAAAGTGAATTGAATGTGTATTTTGTGGGCGAAACGTGGCAGCCAATTGCGCACAGCAGTGTCCCCACAAACAGCCGTGGGTTGAAGTGACTGATTTATTATTATTTTTTGAAGGAATTGATATTTATTGATCTCATGGGACAGACTACCAGCCCTCCCGGTTTCCGATTACAGCACAAAGCTGTTTCTTAAACCAGTCCTGTCGTCTTGGGCTCAACCACCCTCCCCGTCATCCGTTCCAGATGTCGATGACTTTCCGTAAAGAAATACTTGGAGGAGTTTGTGCATTCATTTAATTAATTGCCCTTCGCAACCCAGAACTTGTGCCCTCAGTCGATATCCTTCTACCTCTTTCGCTATCTCCGTTCCTGGCCGAGCCGGGCGAAAGATTGGGCAAGTTTCCTTACTCCACGCACAGCGGTAAGTAGGAACCGGCGGATCGCTTTTCGAGGGGTAATAATCCCTTCAATAAAAAAACAAGTAATAATTTTGGTCACTCAACCCGCCACTGTTTGTGGGACGTCGCTGTACGTAATTGGCTGCTGCTTTTCGCCCACGAAATATGCCGCGGACTCACTCCGCAGCATCTTCTGTATCGAAAGCAAGGACTATTATTAAGGCAGCGCTCAACGCACCGATGGCTGCAGTGTTGTGTGATATTTATGGTAGGACAACAAGAGTAGCAAATTACGTTGGTGTTCAGCGCCTTTCACGTCGGGAGGATCTTGAGACAGCCCTTGAAGGGGGCGAGGGAAGGAGGGAGGGAGGGAGGGAGGCGAATGGACATTATAGCCTGCAAATACAGGGGTACATTAAGGTCCCGTGAAGCTATTAGAGACGGGCGTGTTGGTAATGTGATAATGTAATGTGCATCGAACGCGGAGATTGCTTTCAAATCACTACACGGCAGCAAATCGCTGGTAATCGGAGCCCCATCGGGTTTATTTTGGGTTGGTCGGCGGGGGTGGGGTGGTCTGGTGGGAAGAGATGGGGGGGAAGATGTGTTTGAAACACATTGGAAGTTACTTATTTCTTTTTCACGTCCCTCTCCCACACCCCCACCCCAACCCCCCCCCCACCCACCACCACCTCCCCCCTCCTCCCGCCCTCCCTCCACAAATACGGTACGGTGTGGTTTGACAAGTCGGCACTTGTGTTTCTCCTTCGAGTCATTCCAGCGCTGTGCTCCGCAGCCTCTTGTACAAACAGGGAATTGTAGGAATGTCTCCCGAGATTAAAGGGGACGATGCCGCCTGGGGTTACTGTAGTTCACTGAGCAGTAGTGCTGTTTGCGTTCCAGAGTGACTGACTGTTGCATGACTGACACACGAGAGGCGGACGGACCTGAGCCCTTAATCCCTCTTTCCCCGTAAGGGTACCCGCCCCATCTGTTCACCACTAGCGTCGTCGCGCCGTCCATGCCCTTGCCAACCAGCCGATCCCATCTCTCGGAGCATCAGCCCGGCTCAATTGCTTTGCACTCGCCTCTCGAGACAGGAGGCGGTGGGTTCAAACCCCGGATCCCACAGACAAACAAGGCTGTGGCTGCATTGTTTGAAGAGCGAAGAGGCCGCCTTTCCACTCAGACGTTATTCCAAAGTCCCGACTGACTCTATCGTTCGGTCCGTTCACTTCAACCCATCGTACAATACAAAATCGCCCTTTGTGCAATAAAAAAGCGTTTGGATCGCCTCCAATGTCTGCGGAAAGGAATTGGGAACAATCTCACAACGGGAAGTGTGAGGAGGCTTTATGTTTTGAGCGTCCAGCACCAATACTTATTATTGTAATAATAATAATAATCACCCTTGCATTTGATATAGCGCCTTATCACGTCGTTGAGACCTCTCAAAGCGCTTCACGGGAGAAATCGTAAAGCGGATTGGCTGTGCATTTTCCGGGCGAAACGCGGCAGCCGATTGCGCATAACATTGTCCCACAAACGGTCTTACATTGCGTGACCAATTACTTGTTTTGAAGGCATTATTACTGCGAGGTAAACAGGCGCCTGCGCGTGGAGTAAGGAAACTTGTTCGGGAATGGAAACCTCTCGCTTTCGAGGCGAGTGCTCTACAGGCTTTGGGTTCCAGTATGTTTTCAGACACTCTCTTAATACCTTTCGAGCCTCTGGATGGATACTGTTTACGAACTTCGTGGCTCCGGGTCTGTTTTTTAATCAGGGGCGGAAATATTTGCATTGGCACTCCCTTGTTGAACCTTGTTTGGATCTGCCCATTCTCTCACTCACGCGAGCAGTTTGTGGCATGAAAGGCACTGCGCAAATGTCATTTTGTTGTTGTTTGACGAGGGTGCCAAGCTTGGGGGAAGGTGACCGCAAGCACGGCCCAAGAGGAAGGTCCTCAGGTGTGATCTGAGAAGGGGGGAGGAGGGGGCAAGGCGGAGGGATTGAGGGAGAGAGTTCCAACGTCCATCCGGGTCTTCTCGCTTGCGAGGCGAGCTCGCTAACCACTACACTACGGGTAGCCGCAGGGCTCCCGTTCACCCTGTTGTGCCAGTAGACGGCTGCAGAGTGTGGGTTCGTGCTGCCCGGTGTCTTACGGTATTTTTTTTTGTGTGTGTGTGTGTGTGTCTTCTCCTGCAGTGGGCCACGCTGCGGATAGAAAGGGGATTCCGCGAGAGGAACCACCTCATCTATAAAACCAACTCAAATGGTGAGCCTGTTTCCGTCCAACTCGCTGGGGTGAGAGTGCAAGCTGTGACTCGCACCTTTCTGGCTTCGGACCTTCTCTGTTAATCCCCACATGGTTGTCAACAACAACAATTTACACAGCGCTCCTCACTCAGGGCAGCGTCTCAGAGCGCTTGACAGTGGTGGAGCGCGACACCGGGGCAAGTATTTTTATTAACCCAGCGCGATACGCACGGAAAAGAACTCGGCCTAAGGGAGAGATTTATTACAGCTACGGCGCTATGATACACATATAGTATCCGACATACGGCGCCTTATCACGTCTTCGAGGACGCCTCAAAGCGCTTCACAGAACGCACGGTAAAGCGTAGCGACCCGTGTGTTTCGTGCGCGCAGCCGAATTGCGCGCGGCGGTTCCTCCCGCGAAATTTGCCGAGTGTCCAGCTTTCCCGTCCGTCTGCGTCAGGTATCATCGCAAAGGAGCCCACGTCCTTGGAGCAGGAGATCAAGGAGATAAGGCGGAGCGGGAGCAGTGGGGCCCTGGATAACAGCGAATTCGAAGTGTCCGACATCTTCTACTTCTGCCGCAAGGGCGTCGAGACTATCGTTGATGACGAGGTGACCAAGAGGTTCTCCGCCGAGGAGTTGGAATCGTGGAACTTGATGACACGGACGAACAATAACTTTCATTACATCAGCCTCCGGCTGACGGTGTTGTGGGGACTTGGAGTTTTTGTGCGATATTGCTTCCTGCTGCCCCTGAGGTAAGTCAGACCTGGACCCGAGGAGCCCCCACCCCCACAGGTTAGCAGTAATCCTTGTAGTTCGATACAGCAGTGCCTTTCGTTTCTCAAAAGCATTTCACGGGATAATAATAATAATAATAATATTCATTGTGTTTGATACAGTGAATTTCACGTCAGTGAGATGTGTCGAAGCGCTTCACAGGATGTTATGCATTTTGTAGGCGAATGAGGCAGATAATTTGCCAACCGTGCAGTTCCTCGACAAACAGCCACAAAGTGATTTTCTTCAGCCAGGACACCAGGAGGGAGAAACCCTCTTCTCTTTTGGAGTAGTGCCGCGGGCGGTTCAACTGAGGTTACCTCCACCTTAACAGCCGCAGAGATGACCTCGGTCTCGTCTGGACGAAGGTCTCACAAGGTTTAGTCGAACAACACGATGTGTGAAGTCGATCCTCGCAGCGCGAGCCACTGAGGATAGTGTGGTGACTGATTTACACTTCACAGCAGTGAAGCCGGTTGATCAGCCAAACGTGACAGGAGATGGCGCATTGCTGTGCGCGATTGGCTGCCACGTTTCGCCCACAAATGCACAGTCAATTCGCTTTACAGCGTATCCCGTGAAGCGCTTTGAGACGTCTCGACAACGTGATGAGGCGCTGTATCCTGTGCGAGGGTTCTTATTATTATTATTATGGCTCAACGCTGCCATGTGGCTGACGTTCTGCTATTCTGCTGCAACGCCGGTTTAATAATAATAAGTTGGTCGCTCAGTCCGCGGGTGTTTGTGGGGACGTCGCTGTGCCCAATTGGCTGCCGCGTTTCACCCCAAAAAACACACAGTCGCTCCACTTAACGGCGTATCCTGTGAAGCGCTTTGAGACGCCTCGAAGAGGTGATAAGGCGCCGTATCAAAGGCGAGGATTATTATTATTATTTAACTGGACTCGTGTTCTCGGTTAGTGTCGGTGGTCTCCCTCCCACCTCCCTCCCTCGCACTCCTTCTCCCTCCCCCCCCACCCCACCCACCCCCCCACCCACGCTCCCTCTCCCCCTCTCTCTCCCCCCAACTGTGCTAACCTGTGTGACTCAACCCGCTGTCACACACTGCCACCTGCTGGCTGGTGCTGCGCGGTGCAGTTAAGCTGTTCCTCTGCTGTGTTGGACGCTGTGTCAGTCTCGCGGGGCAGCCGCTGAAACGGTCCTCTCCGTTACGCGGCGCCTTTAATAAGCTTCTCTTTTGTTAATACTGCTGATAATCATCCTCGCCCCATGCGATAAAGCCCCACCCCCCGTCGTCGCGTCTTCGAGACGTCTCGTAAAGCGTTTCACAGGAGACGCTGTATTGCAAAGCGTGGTGACTGTGTATACTGTGGGCAAAATTCTGCGGCCAATTGTGCACAGCAGCATCCCCACCAACAGCCCTGGAGTGAGATTAGAGTCTTGAGGGGCTCTGGGTATATTCTGTGAAGCGCTTTGAGACGTCTCGAAGACGCGATAAGGCCCTTTATCAAACGCAAGGATTATTATTCATTCTATTACATTTCTAGGATCCGTTGCAGGTTTTCACCTTGTCCTTCGACGCTGTATCATGCTCTCTGTATCACCCGCTGTTGAGGATCCGGTGAAGAGAAATGCTTGAAACCAAAGCCCGTCTCTGTTCCGGGCACGGGTTGACCTGCTGTGATTACCCTGGAGTTTTGTTTCCTGACTCTGACACTTCTTCTGTTTGCAGGGTAACCTTAGCCATCACTGGTATCAGCTTGTTGGTGATCGGGACGTATCTAGTGGGCTATCTGCCAAATGGCAGGTAAGAGCTCTGTGGTCAGGGCAAAGCTTTTTTTTTTTTAACGAATCGACTCACTTCTGTTCCCAGGGATGCACTCAATTTATTATTTATTAATTATCAATGAATTTGAGGGTTGGGGGAGAGAGGAATTGTCGGCCAGATTACCGTCTGGGAGACACTCCCTTTTCGTTCTGATTAGCTCCACGTGATCTTCAATGTTTTTCATAGATTATTTCCTTCTCCCCACGCTCTAGGTTGAAGGACTTTCTGAGCAAGCACGTGCACCTGATGTGCTACAGGATCTGTGTTCGGGCCCTGACTGCTATTATTCACTACCATGACAGGTGGGGATGCAGGACTGATGCAATGAGTTAACTTGTAGGTCAGTGGTTAGAGCACTCGCCTCGCAAGCGAGAGGACCAGGGTTCAATTCCCGGTCGGGCAGGGCGAAACCTTGGGCAAGTTTCCTTACTACACATGCACGCCTCTGTTTACCCAGCAATAAGTAGGAACCCGGTTGTTAGTCGATTGACGGATCGCTTTTCCGGGGGTAATAATGCCTTAAAAAGATTATAATAATAATTTGGTCACTTCAATCCACGACTTTGTGGGACACTGCTGTGCGCAATAGGTTACCGCGTTTCGCCCACAAAACACACAGTCCCTACACTTTACAGTATGTCCCACGAAGAGCTTTGAGACATCTCGAAGACGTGATAAGGCGTTATATGAAATGCAAGGATTATTATTATAATGAGTTACCTGTCCCAAAGCAATTCATGGACAAATTGCAGCGAGGCTCCACAAATAGGTGGAGGTGAGTGCCCAACTTTTATGGAGGATTGTCAGCCAGGACAGAGGGAGAAACACCCTTTTCTTTTCGAATAGCGCCACGGGAGATCCACCTGTGAGTTCAAGGGCTGAAGTGGGGCTTGAACCCACAACTTCTGACACACAGAGGTGAGAGCGAGTCCGATTGAGCCAAGCTGGGGGGGGGGGGAAGAAAGCAAGAGTGACTTCCCACATCAGTGCGTCTAGAGGAGAATGAGAGAGGAGGGATTGCTGTGTGGCTCTGTTCATTTGGGATGTGTGCACCAACTCCTAGGTGCGGGTCGAAGCTTGTTTCCTTGTTTCCTCGATTCAATAATTTTTCTTTCCCCGCCCTCCCCCCCCCCCACCTCCATCTCTCATTTCGACAGTGAAAACAAACCCCAAAATGGAGGCATATGTGTTGCCAATCACACCTCTCCGATCGATGTCATCATCCTGGCTAGTGATGGTTACTACGCTATGGTGAGTGTTTGCCTTCTCTCTGCCCCATGGTATGTTGTCACACTGTGCCCCTTCTTTCTCTCTCTCTCTCCCCTCTCTCTCTCTCTCTCTCTCTCTTAAAAGACTATCTGAATCGGGTCGATGTATAAATGCAAGTTGTTGTTGCTGTTTTGGCATGGAGTGGATTCTCTCCCCCACCCACCCCCCCCCCCTCGGAAATGAAAATGGCTGTGGTCACCTCCCACCTCCTCGGTGTCGTGCTCCGCCACTGTCAAGCACTCTGGTACGCTCCCCTGCGCGAGGGGCGCCATGTAAGTGCAAGTTGCTGTCTGTGTCTGTTGCCTCTGAGCTCCTCTGTGTGACTTGTTCTGCAGGTGGGACAGATTCACGGAGGGTTAATGGGAGTCATTCAGAAAGCCATGGTAAAGGCCTGCCCCCATGTTTGGTTTGAGAGATCTGAGGTTCGAGATCGCAATCTGGTGGCAATGAGGTAAGATTTGAGCCAGCTAAAGGGCCTGAGTTTCGCTTCCCTGCTTCAAATAATAATAAATTGGTCGCTCAATCCACCACTGTTTCTGGGGACGCTGCCGCGCGCAGTTGGCTGCCGCGTTTCGCCCGCAAAATATACAGTCAGTTCACTTTCCAGCACATTCTGCAAAGCGCTTTGCGACGTCTTGAAGACGTGATAAGGCGCTGTGTCAAAATGCAAGGATTATTATTATTATTTATTGTTTATCGTTATAAGGGGCAGCATTTTTTCTTGCAGAGAATTGTATTTTGGTCCGTGTTAAGCCGGGTGTCAAATTGGAAATGGTGTTAAAATATTACAATTGCAGCTGAACCTTTTTTTTTAAAAAAATTAAAAGTATTCTTTCCATCAGAGGATTGCTGCACAGGCAGAAATTATTTAGATGCTTGAGAGATAGAAGGATTACCTGCTTAGGGTGTGGGGGTGGTCTACGTGTGTTTAAGCACACTTAGAGAAATTATCCTGCATAAAGCGCACTCTATCAATATGTTCTGGCTATATTGAGAAGAATGGGGGAAGTGGGCAGTAGTTCTTGAAAGATTTGCTTTGATCTGGTAAACTGGAGGAACGGGCTCGATGGGCTGAATGGCCTCCGCATGCTCCTTATCTTCCTGACTGCTCCATGGCACTTTCTGCTTTTCCTCCACGTTAGGTTGACCGATCACATAAGGGACCAGGCTATGCTTCCCATCCTGATTTTCCCGGAAGGTAAGTGACTGATAAGGGGAGGGCGTTGGGGATGGCTCCAATCCCTGTGGTTGCCTTTACCCTCACCCTCTCCTTAACAAAGCCAATCCACCATTGCCTCTCCTCTCATGCCGACAAGACCCTCATCCATGCAGTCATCATATCCAGACCTCGATTATGCTAACTCCCTGCTTCTCGGCCTCCCCAACTCTTCCCTCCACAAGCTGCAGATCATCCAGAACTCTGCAGCCCGTGTCCTCTCTCGCATCAGGCGCTGTGACTCTTATCACCCCCACCCTCTCCCTGCTCCACTGGCTTCCCATCCCCCAGAAGATCGTGTTAAACCTCATCCTCGCTTTCAAAGCCCTCCATGGCTTTGCTCCTTCCTACCTCGCTGACCTGCTGACTCCATGTCAACCTGTCCACTCCCTCGGCTCAGCAGGCTCCCTTGCCTCCTCCAACACCACCAACAAAATTACATTTGTATAGCACCTTTCACATCGGGAGGATGTCCCAAGGTGCTGGATAATCAGTGTTTCAAGGCACGTTTCAAGATCCTCCTCTTCGACCATACCTTGGGCCACCCTTCTATCTCCACCCTCCCCGCCCTCCACCGTCCTGATCCCAACCCCCAGCTCGGGTCCAAATCCCTGACTGTCCAGTGCCTTGGGAAGTCCTCCCGACATGAAAGACGCCCTGTAAATACAAACCCTATCCTATCCTAAAGTTGTCAGGCAGTTAGCAGCTGTGGATAAAGTGTACATATGACTCCTGTTTGCTCTCTGTTGTACACTTACTTTGCCAGTCATGTGTCAGAAGGCTGAACACTGAATCAGCCTGGAACACGCGTTTTTAATTCCTGCTTGGATAGAATCCAATGTAAATAGACTTATATCTCTCCCCGTGTCTGCAGGAACCTGCATCAACAACACCTCGGTTATGATGTTCAAGAAAGGCAGCTTTGAAATTGGAGCCACCGTTTACCCAGTTGCCATCAAGGTAATAAGTCATTGAATTTCCGTGATGACTGGACTCAGACACGCCAACATCTTGACAGTCTAGTGACTGTTCTGGCCTGTTCTCCTGTTAGTGGAGTCCTGTAGCTCAGGGGTTAGTGCACCCACCTGGAAAGCCAGAGGACCTGAGTTTGATTCCCGGGGCAGGGCGAAATGTTGGACAACAACAACAAGATTCCATTGATAGAGCGCCTTTCATGTCGGGAGGACGTCCCAAGGCGCTGGAAGTTCCTTTACTCCACATGGCTGTTTACCTAGCAGTAATGAGGAACCTGGTTGTTAGTTGATTGGGGGACCGCTTTTCCTGGGGTAATAATCCCTTCAAGATAATAATAATTTGGACTATTTGTGGGGACGCTGCTGTGTGCCATTGGCTGCCACGTTTCGCCCTCAAAATATACAGTCAATTCACTCTATAGTATGTTGTGTGAAGAGCATTGAGATGTCTCGAAGACGTGATAAGGCATCATATCAAATGCAAGGATTGTCATTATTGCCTCCCTGACTCTCTGCTGCTTTTCTCATCAGTACGACCCTCGTTTTGGAGAGGCTTTCTGGAACAGCAGCAAGTACGGGATGGTGAACTACCTACTGAGAATGATGACCAGCTGGGCGATCGTCTGTAGTGTCTGGTACCTGCCTCCCATGACTCGTGAGGTAAGCCGCTGCCTTCTGTTACCTCCATTCCCAGATCCTCACGCTCCATCTTCAAATCCCTTCACGCTCTGGCTGGCACCTACCTACCTCTTACCGCTCCGACCTGCTTGCATACTCCCCTACCCGCTGCCTCCACTCGACTGGCTCAGGCCCCACTTGCCCCTCGTGCCGTCCGTTCCATGGCTGCGCTTTCAGCCATTACGCCCCAAAACTCTGGAAAACTCTCCCTCTATCCCTCCGCCTTGCCCCATCCTTCCCCATCTTCCTCTTCGACCAGTCACCTCCCATCTCTCTCGGCGCGGTGTCAGGCTCTGCCACTGTCAAGCGCTCTGCTGCGTAAATACAAGTTGTTGTTGGTGTCGGGGATGGGCTGGGATGTGGCAACGTTCTCCTGGCATTGGAACGTTGCGAAAGGAAGAACCTCATGGAACCTGCATAATAATAATAATAATTTGGTTGCTCAAGCCACGACTGTTTGTGGGACACTGCTGTCAGCAATTGGCTGCCGCGTTTTGCCCACAAAATACGGTCAATTCACTTTACAGTCTATTCTGTGAAGCGCTTTCAGACGTCTCGAAGACGTGATAAGACGCTGTATCAAACACAAGGATTATTATTATCTCCAATATCTCAATGCACTACTTAAGTTAGCGACAATGAGGGAATGCAAATCCATCCACCTGAGTTTGGCTGTCTCTTGTGTGTTTTGCATTCAGTCTTTGCATTCAGCTGTGTTTATACGTTGCGGTATCTTCTCTTCCTGGTATTAAAATTAAAACTGACGCTGGAATCAAGTCACGTAAATGAGATTCGAACAGCTGAGATTGCTAAACAGTAGTAATATAATCTGCATATATAATAATAATCCTTTATTTGTCATGCACTGAGCCGGCCTACGCGCACTGAGCCGGGCTGACGCGCGCTGAGCCGGGCTGACGCGCGCTGAGCCGGGCTGACGCGCACAGAGCCGGGCTGACGCGCACAAACCGAGCCGGGCTGACACGCACAAACCAAGCCGGGCTGACACGCACAAACTGAGCCGGGCTGACGCGCGCGCGCGCGCGCACACACACTGAGCCGGGCTGACATACACACACACTGAGCCAGGCTGACACGCAGACACACACTGAGTGAGGGTGACGTGCGCACGCACGCACTGAGCCGGGCTGACACACACAGACACACACACTGACCCTGACGCCTCTTCTGTGTTGCACAGGAAGGCGAAGATGCTGTGCAGTTTGCGAATCGGGTGAAAGCTGCGATCGCCCGGCAAGGTGGCCTCGTAGATCTGCTGTGGTGAGTGAAAGCCTCTCATTCTGCTTATCTCTGGGGGTGGGCAGAGGATGGGGGAAGGAGAGATAGCAGCTGTGGCATAAATTGGCTTCCGACCTGCGGCACGAACCCATGAGCCTCTGAACCGAATATAATAATAATAATAATACTTGCGTTTGATACAGCGCCTTATCATGTCTTTGGGACGTCTCAAAGCGCTTCGCAGTGAATATCGTCAAATGAGCCAACGAGTCGAGTCTAACCCAATGCGTGTGTGCATGTGTCTTTCAGGGACGGCGGGCTGAAGAGAGAAAAGGTAAAGGACACCTTTAAGGAGGAGCAGCAGAAACTCTACAGTAAGATGATCGTCGGGGACCACAAAGACAGAAGCCGATCCTGAGAGCCATCCTGTCGGATTGCCGGCCTGGGGTGTGGGGGTGGGGTGGGGGGGGTGGGCACACGGCAAGAGACATGGCATTGCTGGGGTTGTGTACGGACCCATAACAAAACTGATGCAAGACACAAGCTACTCTGCTCCTCCCCCCCCAACCCCCCCTCTCTCTGTCATTTGAGGACGGCGTCTAGAGGGGTTGAGAGACACGTTACCCTGGGGCGTCCCCCCCCCCACCCACCCCCGTGAGCGTACAATCAAACCCTCTCTCTTTACAAAAGGGCAGAGCGGAGCTGGTTGTTTGGCGGTGGGGGGTGTGGGGTGTGAAATGGACATCACGTGGTGTTATCATACGGATGACAAAGCTGTCTGTTCTTCGTCGAAACATCGGAACACCTGGAGTTTGGAAGCTTTGGCTCAGATGGCGGTGGGTGAAGGGGGGTAGTAGGCAGCGGAACAGGCAGGCGCAAGGGGTGTGGCGTCGGCCGGGCGTTTTCTTTGGTCAGGAGGAAACCAAGTAGAACAGACGAGTTTAAAGAGAAAAATACGGCAGAATCTTTCATCAGCACTTCATTGAAAGCAGCATTGTCAGCCCTGACGAGACTCGCGATGCATGATGTTAATATGTGTCTAGTATGTTTTTCTTTATTTCTAGACCAGTCTGCGGATGTGTTGGGTGGGGAGGAGAGGGAAGAGGAGAAAGTAACTTGCATGTTATTTTTGTGTAATTTTTTTTTCCCACTTTACGTGTCATTTTTTTTTAAAAAATGACAAAAACGAGTGTTTTTTCTGCGATGGGAGAGGATGCCAAACAGAACTGTCCGTCAACCCCTTTTTTTTTTTTTGCCTTAAGCTTCGGTCGGCCTCAGATAGTCTATCGAGCTCGTGAGGCGATGAAAAAAAGAGAGGGGGGGGCTGGGGGGTTCGAAATACTCGGAATTGCAGCCACAAACTTTCCCTTTCCCGGAATTGGGGGGGAGAGAAGAGAAGAGAGAGAGAGAGAGAGAGAGAGAACAGTGGGGAGGGAATCTTAACACTAACACCTTGAGGCGACTGATATTGGCCAGAGCAGGAGAAGGAATTAAGATGCTTTTGAGAGAGAGAGAGAGACAAGAGAGTTGGCAGCAGAGTTTGAGACTCATAGCCTCTTGTTTGTGACGTTCAACATAGCCGGTCTGCTTCCCATCGCCTAACACCTTAGTTGGCAAAGCAACCTCTTGTTGCTTTGCTTGGCAAGCGATGGCGAAGGAAAGGGGCAGCTTAGTGTTTGACATGCCATCCCGTCTCTCCTCCACCCCTGGAATAGGACCCTGTCGAGTGTGGCAAGGGTTAATCCACGCTGTTGATGAAGGCTCCCCCAAGCCACTGTCGCTTGACTGATGGTACCTTGGCCATGCTGACCCACTGAGCTTTGTAATGGGGGACTGAGCTGAGGAAACCAGCCCTCGTCTCTAGGCTCGGTGTGTGTGTGGGAAGATTGGTTACGTATTCTGTGGCTGAATTATCAGTCCAGTTTCCAGAGTTTCCACACCAGTTGGTGGCTCGGAAGAAGAGAAGCAAGCGAGCTTTCGTGGCGGGTATAAAAATGCTGTGCTACTGAGGTTAACTGGCTCTTCATTCTTCCAATGGAAAGGTCTCTGATTTTTGTGGGTATCCTGGCCATGCGCGCAAGGTTGGGGGTGGTGGTGGGGGGTGGGGAAGAGAATGAGAGCTCTGGCCTCCCGAGCGCGCCAGTCACTCACAGCTGTGGCACAAGAGAATAGTGCTCAGCCTGTCAAGTCAACTTGTCCAGCGATTGTGATTGTACGTCGCTCTGCGCGATGCAGGGTGCTGATAGAAATTTTTCCGCCCCACTTGTCGGGGGAAGCGGGATGCTAGTTTGACGTAGCGTCCTGGGGAGAGGCGGGGAAGAGTTTGTCAGGCGTCCCCCGGTCCCGATTGGCATCCGAGAGAGCTTCGCCCGACTCCGCGATTTCATTTCACAATCGAGGAAATCCGGTCAGGAAATGGGCGCAGAATAAATAGCCTTAAGATCCTCTCTCTTTAAACGAACGACCCGAATTGTCAGTTGCTTGATTAAGAAACCACGACAGGAAACATCTCGAGGTGGGCCCCCGGCCAATTATTGGGAAAGCGTTTTGGACCGGAAGCTGGCTGGCCTGCTGCCCCTCTTGAAATGTCAACATAACGGGCACACAATCTCTACGCCGCTGAGCAAAGAGAAGGAAACAGGAGCTCGTTGTTCCCCTTTGCTGACTCCTGAGAATATCGAGTGCTTCGGAAAAGGATTTGCAACTTTTTGGCGGGGGGGGGGAAATAAAGAACTAAGCTTCAAGTGTTCGGGAGAGTTGCTTGCTGACCCTGACGTTTCGTAGCTTGTCGGTTTCCGTTGGCCGAAGTATTTTGAACCCAATCGCGAAGCACCTGGATACCTCTCTCTCTCTCTGTGTGTGTATGTATGTGAGTGTGTGTGTATTTTTTTTAATATATAATACATGTGGGGGTAAAAAAATGTACCTTTTGGGAGTTTTAAAACATCTTCACATGCTTCATTTGGGAACTTCTGTTACACATTCATGTAAGCGGCTAATAAAGGTGAGAATGAGGCACTCACTCACTCGCGCGAGAGAGAGAGCTGTGTGGAGTCTTTCTGTTGCATCCGTAGAGATTTTGTGCTTGGGTCGATCAAACACAAGACTGCTTCATTTCCTCGGGCCCTCTCAGCCCACGCTATGCTCTCTGGAACTCCATCCCTGGTGTCTGTCGGATTCCCAACCCTCCTTCCCCTTGATCAAGGCTCATCTCAAAACTTACCTCTTTGACCACGTTTTCAAGAAGCTGAGCTGAGTCTCCTGAGTAGCTGAACTGGTCCGAGGTGATCTACCTGGCAAGGGAGTGTTGGATTTGAGCCGCCCTCCGTGACGGTTTCTAGTCTGGTTCCTGAGCCAGGTGGGTCCGCAGTATTCCAGAGCACTCACCGCTGATGACAGCGCAGCCCGGTATAGCTTATCGACAGGACCTGGAAGGGCCTACCAGTCACTCGGGGCAGGACGTCAATCCCCCAACTCCTGTTAACCCTACAAGCCAAAGCCCTAATGGGTAAAGGTGGTCCTAGCTGCACAAGCAGCAGGAAAGCTTGCCCGGACGGCAATCGATCCTCCTTTACTCCCTACGGCTCCCCCGCCCGGCCTCGGGTGACCAGCCAGCATTGTCAACTGCTGTGCGGTGCCCCGACACGAAAGGCGACGTGTAAATGTAAATTGTATTGTATTCCATTCGTTTGTTGTTGAGTTCCCGCTTCTCCTGCCTTGCTTGATGTCCAACCCCATCACCGTTCAAGTACTTTGAGACACCACCCTGCACGAAAGATTCGTCTTAGTTCTCCGTAGCCTTTTAACGTTAATAATAATCCTTGCATTTGATACAGCGCCTTATCACTTCTTCAAGACGTCACAATCTGCTTCACAGACCAGAGTGTAGTGACTGTATGTTGCGGGCGATGGTTTTCTTTTTCAAAAGATCTCCTTCCCTTTCGGCCTAGCCTGCGGTTGCGTTTGGTCACGGTGTCAGAGAATTCCTCGCCGCGTGAAAAACTTGAACGGTGACGGGCTTCCGCGCGAGTCAGACATCCGTCTAACCAAAAAAGAAACACAAAAGCATTTGGTTTTCCTAACCTCACATTTTTCGTGTCACCCCACCAGAAGTGCCTTAGGTAAATCAGTCTCCGGGGCAGTAATTGATTGTATTTGTAGGCAAATGTAGCAAGTTCCGAGGAATAGTCCTGATGCAAGCGACCATTTAATCCTGAATTGCTGGCCGGGATATCTGTGGGACCTCGCCCTCATGGCAAGAAACTGCATCAATGTCCTTTCCAGGTAAGTGTGTCCCACGAGTGTTTTTTGAGAGATGAGAACCCTTCTTTTCAACATTAGGCCTATAATAATAATAATACTAATAATAATGATGATCCTTGCATTTGATACAGCGCCTTATCACGTCTGAAACGCCTCAAAGCGCTTCACAGGACACACTGGAAAGTGAATTGACGGCGCTTTTTTTGCGGGCGAAACGCGGCAGCCAAATGCGGCCCAGCAGCGTCCCCGCAAACGGCCGTGGATTGTGTGAAACGTTACGTGAATCTCGAGGAGCCCGACGTCTGCAGACATGGCTTCTCCCCCGCCCCACGCGCCACAAGCGAAGCGTCCGAACAAGCTAACGAATTGTGCCCTCTTCCCTTGAAATGTAGCTTTGAAAAGGCGATGGAGGTTGGTGCAAGTCTGGTATTGGCTCAGCCACTTCCTGAGTCTCTCACGTAATGGACTGTAGTAACCACATTGTCAAATGCAGGAAGTGGCAAAGTTGTTTAACAAGAGTCTTGAGATAGGCAGAGGTGGGACTTTACAAGGGTTAGGGTGAGGAAAGCGGTCAATAGCTCCTGTTGCTGACCCAAGACCAGACTCCCAAAGGTTCAGGGCAGCACATAAGAGACAAATTTTCTTTCTCTTTCCCCCCCCCACCCCAGCTGATGGAATGAGTCAGTAGATGTGAAGAGGTTGCATTGTGAGACCCACAAACATTGCTCAACGTCGCTGCTCTGTCTGCCTGAGTCTGCTCTTCTCTTCCAATGGATCTGTTGCTCGTAACCAGCAACGTTGGCTCTCTCTTCGACAACGTGAGTAACAAATCATTAGATATCGTGAATTATGGTGTGTCTAAAATGTGAATTCCTCCCCCCCCCACCCTCCACACACACACACACCATCCCAGCCTTTCCTGTATGCAGGGAGTTTGCAAAGCTCATTGTGTGTGTGTGTGTGGAGGGGGGAAGAAAAGCTTTCTATCTAATTTTTTTTGGAGGGGGGGAAATATACAGTAACATTGCAAAAACTTTTTGTAACCTCAACGGTTTTTTTTGGTGGTGGGGAGGGAGGGAGGGAGGGGTGGTGGGGGGAGGGATGGTTGGGTTGTTATGCAAGATAGCAAGAGCCTTAGATCCATTAGCCAAATTGCAAAGCTTTGTTCGAATTATTCCCCAGGCGTAGAGAAGCTGTCAAATATTTTAGTTTTTTAGGTCAGTTTAGTACATTGCAAGGAAGGGAGTGGAGGGGTGGGGGCTCTCTCTCCCACTCTCTTGAGATAATGCCTCTTTTGAGCACAGAGTGGTTTGAAAGTTAAAGGCTAGTGACTATTTTTAAGGATGGGATAACGGGTGCAAGACTTGGGACTAGATATTGAGGTTTTTTTTTGGGGGGGGAGGGCGGCGGTGGTAAGCAAAAGGGAAAGGAAAGCAACCCAAATACATGGAAACTCTTAGCCACGGGTCATGGCTTGTTAGATGGCGCTTCAAGATTTGGTGTTTGTTTGCGTGGGAGGTGAGGACATCACTATCTGAAGGTAGAAGCCAGAAGTTTTATGGCTGAGCGACCGAATGAATGGACGTACTTCTGTAGGTGCTAACAAAAACTTTAAAGTAATAATAATTCGGTGACTCAATGCACGGTCTGTGGGACCCTGCTGTGCGCCGTGTTTCGCCCACAAAATATAGTCAGTCCACTTGACGGTATATTCGGTGCCTCGAAGACGTGATAAAGTGCTGTATCAAATGCAAGGATTATTATTATTATTATTGATATGTGTGTGTTGAGTGCGTGTGTTGTGGACAATTCCTCGCATTTTCGCAAGTCAACCTTTTATTTGCATCAGTTCCGCACGAGGCTCCGTTCTGACTTGAATCCTGATTTGCATTCGATTCAAATGATCTGTCGGGTTAACCGGGTTCATGGGCACGTTTTCGGACGACTGTCGAGTTTGGCTGGTGTGTGTGTGTGGGGGGGCGGGTGGAGGGATCAGTTGATCTGCTTCATATTGTGAGTCTGTGAGCTAAACAGCCAGTGAGTGGCCTCTCGGAGGCTCTGATCAACCTCTGCGAGTTTCTTTGACGCTGTTTGTGTGGTGCTCTGTTGGGTAATCTCAAACCTTGCATCCAGCTTGACGCGTAGCCCTGTGTTACAATAGTAATCCTTGCATTTTATACAGCAGCAGCAGCAACAGCGGCAACAAATTACATTTAGGCAGCACCTTTCACGTCAGAAGGATGTCCCAAGGCGCTGTATCTAACAGGATTATCGACCTATCCATCACTGGGAGGGTGGATGTAAGCGAGATCTCCTTGAAGTAGAACTGATTCCAAAGTTTAATGTCTGATCGATCCGGCATTGCATTGGTGTCTCAGCATAGTGTGAGCTCAAAGCCCTTGAACACGCAACCCGCTAAGCAGAGGACTTTGACAGAGAGGTTAGAGACAGCCAGCGAGAGATCAACAGCTGAAGATAGAATTAATGCCATGTATAAATGTCAGGATTTGCATGAGTGTTTGAATTTACCTACAGGCTACATTTCCTTGTGCAGTTGCCTGCTGTCTCTAGTCAGCTGTAAAACCCGGTGTCTGACAGGACTGTTGAACTCAAACAGTCTAAGCCAGGGTGCTCCAACCTTTTGGGTGCTGAGAAGCACACAGATACCCCATTTGAGAAAGGTTTGCAGGCCACTTAAGCAATATTTTTCTGTTTCCCTTCCAGAAACGTAACCGTAACCACACCAGCAAATGACATTTACGCAGAGCTTTTCACGTCGGGAGGACGTCCCAAGGCGCTGGACAGTCAGAGATTTGGACCCGAGCTGGGGTTAATAATAATAATAATAATAATCCTTGCATTTGATATAGCGCTTTTCACGTCGGGAGGACGTCCCAAAGCGCTTCACAGAACACACTGTAAAGTGAATTGACTGTATATTTGTGGGCGAACGCGGCGGCCAATGGCGCACAGCAATGTCCCACAAACAGTCCTGGATTGAAAATGACCAATTTATTATTGTTTTGGGTTTTGGAGGGATTGTTATTAGGGTTGGGGTTTGGGGTCAGGAGGAGTGGATCGGGAGGGGTAGGAGGGTGTGCGAAGGTGAAAAACAAAGTCGCTACACTTTACAGTGGATCCTTTGAAGCGCTTTGAGATGTCCTTACCATTGTGAAAGGCGCCACATCAAATGCAAGAGCTTATTTTATTATTACATTGATTCTGCACAGGTTTCCAGGATTAGGGGTAGACTGATCTGCACTAAGGGATGGGAGGGAAGTAGGTGGATGGGTGCAATGCGTCTCGTGACGTGTGCTTGGAGTATGGAAACGTGTTTAGTGAGGTTGTGTTTTGGGAAATTAACTTCCCTTCCCCACCCTTTGTGTCTATTTCTTTTCAGGTGGACGGGCTGCAGACTGTCTGGCTAAATGAATTTTACCAGGTGAGTGTAACCAGTTTTACCGGGTGAATCCCGCAGCACAGTGGTTAGGGCGCTCACCTCGCAAGATTCGATTCCCGTGCGGGCAGAGCGAAACCTTAGGCAAGTTTCCTCACACCACACACGCCCGCCTCTGTTTACCCAGCAGTAAGTAGGAACCCGGTTGTTAGTCGATTGGCGGATCGCTTTCCGGGCGGGGGGGTAATAATCTCTTACTGAAACCACGGCTGTCTGTGGGACGCTGCTGTGCGCAATTGGCTGCTGTGTTATGTCCACAAAATACACAATCACTTCACTTTAACAATAGATTCTGTGAAGCACGTTGAGACATCGCGAAGAGGTGATAAGGCGTTATGTCCTGTAGCTCAGTGGTTAGAGCACTCGCTTTGCAAGCGAGAGACCTGAGTTCAATTCCAGGCAGAGGGCGAAACCTTGGGCAAGTTTCCTTACTCCACACAGAGCCTAATAATAATCCCTCCAAAACAAAACAATAATAAATTGGTCATTTTCAATCCACGACTGTTTGTGGGACATTGCTGTGCGCAATTGGCTGCCGCGTTCGCCCACAAATATACAGTCAATTCACTTTACAGTGTGTTCTGTGAAGCGCTTTGGGACGTCCTCCCGACGTGAAAAGCGCTATATCAAATGCAAGGATTATTATTATTATTATTATTATTATTATTATTATTATTATGTCAAATACAAGGATTATTATTATTAAGGTGGTGTCTTAGGAGCTTGTAAAGAGGGGGTGGGGGCTGAGGGTCAGGCGAGTGAGCCACCGAATGAGCTTGCTTATGATGCCTTATTGTTCTTCCCCCACCCCCACTCTCCCCACACACAGACGGTCATCACTTACAAGCCTCAATTCATCGCCCTCCACTGTCAGGAGGTGGGGGGGAAGTGGAAGGGGAAGGAGTACGAAAACCACATGGTGCTGGTGGACATTTTTGTGAAGTAAGTGGGTAGGAAGGAATGAATGAGAAGGTGAGGCATGTGTACAGGGTGGGGATCGAGGGAGGGAGGGGTGGGTAGTGGTGGGGAGAGAGAGTAGAGTCTAAACCCAGGCAAGACCTTCAGTGGATTTGCATTGCACCGTGTTGTCTCTGATGCTCCATAAAGAGTCCTGTAGCTCAGTGGTTAGAGCACTTGCCTCGCAAGCGAGACGACATGGGTTCGATCCCCAGTCCTCAATCCACAGTATATCCTGTGAGACATCCTGAAGACGTGATAAGGCACTGTATTAAATGCAAGGATTATTATAAAGTGCTCTGGGGAGCTACACTGCATGAGGGGTGCTATATAGATAGAGAGTTGTTGCTGTTGATGATGCAGTTGTATATACAGCAATAATCCAAGATGACCCCTGTTTGGTTGCAGAGAGATTCTTTCGAGTCCTGAGATGAGAGAATACAACAGAGCCCGAGTGTACCTCGATAAGGACTTCACAGCCCACGACCATTTCACCGTGAGTGTGTGTCCGGTCCTCAAAAGGCCAGTCAATAACCTTCCCTCTTTGCGCCCTCCCGAACGCCGACATTCCAGAACATTCCGCGTCTCACCTTGGGTCAGATTTTATGCCGTGTGCTGCTTGAGGTCCGTCGGTAAAACCACTCTCCCTTTGTTTCCCTCCAAGGCTCTGGGTAGCATATATCTACTCCACGAATCCATTCACCGCATCCGTCAGTTTGACTTCAAAGGTGGGTTAAGGTTATTTTGTTTGCGTTTCCAGACTGTTCATTTGGGTCCTTTTTTTGCGTGTGTGTGTGCAACGCTCATGCGTCAGAAAATCTTCTCTCCTTCCCCCACCTTCCCTCCCCTCCCCAACGCCCCCCACCAAAAAAAGGAGAAACGCCATTCCACGGATGAGAAAGAGTTTGTCAAAGGGGGAAGTTGCACGAGATCTGAGATTATGTGACTCGTTACTTCACTGTGATCGAATGACAACAGCAACCAACAAACTGAACAGGCGCCAGGCTCTGCCACTGTTAAGCGGCCTCCTTAAGACCCGTCTCAAGATCCTCCTCTTCGACCGTGCCTTTGCTCATCCTCCACACCCTCCCCCACCCACCCTCCATCCTTCCGCCCCAACCCTGACCCCCAGCTCGGGTCCGAAACTCTGATTGTCCAGCGCATTGGGACCTCCTCCCGACGTGAAAGCCGTGACTATACAAATGTATTGTTATTGTTAAATGTTCCAAGACCCCACCCCACATGAGGGGCGCTGTATAAATGGTTGTTGTTGTTGTTGTTGATCTCCTATTCATTCCTCTCCAGCTCAGAAGTACGAAGAGGTATGTGGGAAGGAGGTGCACGTGGACGATTTGGAGACCAACAGCATGATCGAGAAGGAGAGATTCCCACAGAGCTTCTGGCCTGATGTAAGAACAACAGCGACTTGCATTTACACAATTCCCCCTCACTCAATCACAGCGTCCCAGAGCGCTTGACAGTGGCGGAGCACGACACCGAGTCAGGAGAGAGGAGGTGACTGTAGGCATGGTCGAAGAGGGAGGTCTTCAGGTGCGACCTGAAGATGGGGTAGGAAGGGCCAAGGCACAGAGGAAGACAGTTCCAAAATTTGGGGGCGTAGTGGCTGAAAGCACGGCTGCCGATAGTGGAACGGAGGGCACGAGGGACAAGCAGGAGGCTGGAGCCAGTCGAGCGGGGGCAGCGGGTAGTGGGTTGGGGGGTGACTAAGCAGGTCGGAGAGGTAGAAAGGTGTAAGAAGAGATTTGAAAACAAGTGTGAGGATCTTGAAGCGACGCGTTCAGCGACAGGGAGCGAGTGGCGAGGACTGGTGTGATGGGAGTCGAGCTGCTTGCTCCCTCTTGTACTCTCTAGGTCAGAACTGCGATGCGGTGACAAGTTTAACAACAAACTGTTCCTTTAACTCCCAGTTCAAGTGGTCCCGGAAAGGCTATATCCGGTCCAGGTGGAACATCAATGATTGGTAGGAACAATTTGGTTCTTTGTTTGGGTAGGGGGGTGTGGGGGGGTGTGGGGGTGGCGGGATTGAATGTTGCTGCCCAGGAAGTCTCTGACCCCGTTGTGCATTGACAGAATTGCTCTCAGTTACGATGTTCCCCGATTTGCAGTGTGTTTAATAATAACAGTGATAATATAATAATAATCCTCGCATCTGATATAGCGCCTTATCACATCTTCAAGACGTCTCTAAGCTCTTCACAGGATACACTGTAAAATGATGTACTGTAAATTGTCTGAAACGCGGCAGCCAATTGCGCGCAGCAAGATTAGAAACTAAACAAGTTGTATGCTGTTGGCCTGATGTCCCCATGTCTCCAGCCCCTCTAACTGAGCTGTCTCTCTCTCTCTCTCTCTCTCTCTTTCGCTCTCTCTCATTGTGACTGTTTCTTCTACTGCAGTGTCCTCGACCTGGTGAATATCCATCTCTTCCACGATGCCTCTAACCTGGCAGCTTGGACCACCAGCCCCTCAATCTTCTCCGGGAACAGACACAAGGCCCTGGGTTACATCCTGAGCAGGTAGGGGTGGGGTAGGTAAAAGTCCCAGATAGGGACATAGGCTTGGGCGTCTGAAGAACATCAGTACTGCAGATCCCTTGACCTCAGTTCAGCTGAAAACCTTAGGCGGTTGATCAATAACAATAATCTTTGTGACTGATATAAGCCTTATGTCTTTGCGACGTCTCAAAGCGCTTCACAGAATATACTGTAAAGTGAATTGACTATATTTTGTGGGCGAGACGGTGGTTGAGGTCAGGACACGAGACTTTATTGAGAAACTGCTTGGCGCTGGCAGGGGAGTGCAGAGGGAGAGTGGGCTACCCAGCCGAGATTAAATGAGCTGAGGGGAGTTCTTAGTCTTCAACTTCTCTCATATATCTCTCTTGAGCGTTTTGTGTCTGGTTTTCCCAGGATTACGGATGCCCGGTATGAAAAGGTGCCCTTTTTTATATTTGGAGACTTTAATGTGCGTCTGGATACAAAGAGCGTAGTGGAGGTAAGTCTGACACAATCATCCGGTGCCCTGTGGTAACTAATGGAGTTCAATGACGACGACAACAAATGACACGTGTACAGCGAGTGCCCTTCACATCGGAAGGATGCCCCAGAGCGCTGGACAGTCGGGGTGGAGGGGGGGGTTTTGGACACAAGCTGGGTGTTGGGGTCAGGAGGGTGGGTGGGCGTGAGATTGGTTCAAAATGGCAATCCCAAGCCCACCTTGTGAAGGGCGCTGTGTAAATGCAAGTTGTCGTTGTGGGTTAGTTTTACAAGCCGGTTCACCTGCCTTCCTTTGACTCCAGACCCTCTGCAGCAGAGCCACGATGGAGCCCGCCATTGTACACAACACTGAGCCCGGCGACGTGAAGAAGCTCATCTTTCAGGAGAGGGACAACAATCGCAAGGTACGGGTGTCAGCAGAGGCTTTGGAGGGTTTGCTGTCGATGTCCGCGGGTCGTGTGTCAGCCTGGCTCAGTGGTAGCGCACGCTCTCTCTCTCTCTCACACACACCTCTGAATCAGAAGCTTACATGATTCCAAGTCCCTAGGTCGGGACTAAAAACGAGCTCCCTTTTTGGGTGCACGTTCGGGTGCGGCGCTGGTCGAAAAGAGATTGATGTTTCTTTCTCTCTCGCTCCCGGTTTCCTGGTCAATATTCCCCCCAAATAAAAATTGGTCGCTCACTTCAGGGCGGGTTGTGGGACACTGCTGTGTGCAAGTGGCTGCCGCTTTTCGCTCACAAAATATACAGTCCACACAATCCACATTACAGTATATCCTGTGAAGCGCTGTTAGACATCTCGAAGATACGATAAGCTGTTATTATATTTTCCTCCCTCCCTTTGTCTTTCCTCAACAGGTTCTGCTTAGGATTGAATCGAAAACCTTTGAGTACTTTGACCAGGATGTTTTCCGGGAGAACAATGGGAAAGCTGTATGTAAACCTAACTCAGCCTCGCTTGCTAAACTGATTAAATCAGATTCTTGGCCATACCACCATATTAACAACAACAAATTACATATACACAGCGCCTTTCACATTGGGAGGATGTCCCAAGTCGCTAGACAGCCAGGGATTTGGACCTAAGCTGGGGTTTGGGATCAGGAGGGGTGATAGCACGAGGGATAGGTGTAGCAGGGTGGCCGAAGGCTCGGTTGAAGAGGAGGATCTTGAGACGGGCCTTGAAGGAGGCAATGAAGGGGAGCGAGACGGAGGGACTGTGGGATGGAGTTCCAAAGGGTGGGGGCAGAGGGGCTGAAGTCCCGACTTCCCATTAACGCTTCATCTCTTCTTAGCTTTTAGAGTTCGACAAGGAGCTGCTAAGTTTCAGTGACAAAATCTGTGAGCTGGACATTCACTTCCCACCCAGGTACTTGGCGATTTAGAGACAAAAAAAAAGCTGTTACTCCGCTTAATCCACGACTGTTTGTGGGACGCTGCTGTGCGCAATTGGTTTGTGCGTTTTGCCCACAGAATACACGGTCACTACACTTTACAATATATGCCTATCTGCAGCATTTTTAAAAAGTTCCCGTGTTTGACAGCAATTGCCCGTAAAGTGCTGCGAGACCTTTTGATGTTGCGTTATGTCAAGTGCGAGGATAGTAATCCTTGCATTTTTGATACAGCGCGAGTCCTCTAACCACTGAGCTACAGGACTCCAGATGAAGATTCTGTGTGGTAGGAGAGGTCTCGAAGCTCTGACGTGTTGTTGTTGTTGCTTCTCCTCCAGCTACCCCTACAGCGAGGTCTCCACTGAAGGAACGCTATACTCAAACACCCGCTGTCCGGCCTGGTGTGATCGCATCCTCATGTCTCCGTCAGCCAACGAAATCGTCGCAAAGGTACAGCACACTCAGCAACAGCGACGACTTGCATTTACACAGCGCCCCATCACACATGATAGCGCCCCAGAGCGCTTGACAGGTGGTGGAGCACCACACCGAGCCGGGGGGAGAGGGGAAGTTCACCGTAGGCACGGTCGGTCGAAGAGGAAGGTCTTCAGGCGCGACTTGAAGAAGGGGAAGGAAGAGGGCGAGGGAGAGAGTTCCAGATTCTCTGGGCGCAATGGCTGAAAGCGCAACTGCCAATGGGGGAGCGGAGGGCACGCGGGACACGAAGGAGGTCGGAACCAGTTGAGCCCTGAAACCACCCCTTGTTTTACAGTCGAACCTCACGATAAGAAGTCCCTTGTGGCCTGCAGTAAAGATGGTTATATGAGTGTGTTCATGATAAGAGGGTTTAGGATCGTTAAAACCGGGGGTTTGTTCATTATAATGAGGTTCCCGGCTATACTCTGCTTCTACCCCATGCTCTTCTTAAACTGGGGCACTGGATGGAGCAGTAGAGAGGGAGCTTCTAACGGGTGCTGTGGTTGACCTGAGAGTGCAGAGCTGCTAAAGCACTGTGCCCTCTGGCGGTGGAGAGTTGATAGCGATGTCAGACTGTAAATCGTGACATTCTCTTGCAGGGAAACCATATGTACGATCTGATGGGATCCGAGGTCTGCATGGGCGACCACAAGGTGAGAGGCATTGTCTCGCTCGCCGTAATCTTTAAGCTGTGGCACCTTAGGTGTTGTAGTATCTTGGAGAGCTTTGCAATGGTCAAGTGTAGTGATAATTTAAGAAAGTAAGATTGGTCACTCAATCCACGACTGTTCACGGGGCACTGCCGTGCGCAATTGGCTGCCGCGTTTCGCTCACAAAACATACAGTCGGTTCCCTTTATAGTATATACTGGGAAGCTTTGAGACGTCTTGAAAACGTGTTGAGGTGCTATATCAAATGCAAGGATTATTATTATTATTGTTTCCTGTTTCATTTTTTCTAAATGTTTTTCTCTCTTCCCGATTCCAGCCAGTTTTTCTGTACTTTCAAATCACACCCTGAAAATGCACAGCTCGTGGAGTGAGTATGTAGACAAAAGGCGTACAGCGCGCACACATTTTCCAAACCTGCACTCTTACTCCCCTAAATCACAGTCTTGAATTCATCCCTCTCCCTCTCGAACCAGCTCAACCGTTAGCGCTCTCGCCTCTGAGTCGGAAGGACTTTGAGCTCGCAGTCCAGACTGACACTGCAACACATCGCTGGGGGGAACACCTCATTGTCTGATGGAGTCCTGTAGCTCAGTGGTTAGAGCACTCGCTTTGCAAGTGAGAGACCTGAGTTCAATTCCAGGCAGAGGGCGAAACCTCGGTCAAGTTTCCTTACTCCACACAGAGCCTAATAATAATCCCTCCAAAACTAAAAACAATAATTAAATTGGTCATTTTCAATCTACGACTGTTTGTGGGACATTGCTGTGCGCAATTGGCTGCCGCGTTCGCCCACAAATATACAGTCAATTCACTTTACAGTGTGTTCTGTGAAGCGCTTTGGGACGTCCTCCCGACGTGAAAAGCGCTATATCAAATGCAAGGATTATTATTATTATTATTATTGTCAGAGACACTATCCTTTGGATGAGACGCCCACAAAATGTGCTGTCAATTGCAGTATATTCTGTGAAGCGCTTTGAGACGTCTCGAAGACATGATCAAGTGCAAGGATTATTATTATTATTATATTGTTATAAGGCTTCCAACTCAGCCTTGCAATGCAACTAAGCAATGGGCACCTGACTGATGTGTTGCCTTTTCTGTTTCTAGGCAAATGGGGGGAGTGGGGGTTGGGGGTGGGATTGGGTCATCAGATGGAGGAGATGCCACAATGTGCCATGTTGATCATTCACTCTGTGAGGGCATGGAAGATGGAATTGGCTTCTTTGGACTCCGAACCCCAATGGGGAGTGCTGCAGAATTCTCCTCAGCCCTTTCCCAAGATATTCCCAGGATTTCGCCCTGTCCTCGCCGGCCATTTAAAATCCCGGATGGATCTTCACAGTAATGGACATTCTACCTGGACTCCTGAATCAAGAATGAGTTGTGAGTAGACAGGGAGAGAGAGTAGATGGTGAGAGGGACTAGTGTGGTAAAGTGTGTTTAGTTCCTTATTTGCTGTGAGAGTCCAAGGAAAGCGTGGATTACATCAGCAATGGTGTGTGTGAGAGAGTGTGGACAGGAATACAGGAGTTTGCACCAACCAAATCAACTTACTTTTTTTGCAAGACGTAATGGGAAGACTGGATTGTTGGCATCGGTCCAGTTTAGCTCTACCTTCCCTCTGATTTTCATAATACAGTAATGCCGTGATAAGCGGTTTTCCAATTGTTGGATTGCAAGGGCATTCGGCTTCCCAGGAAGAGTGAAGCCATAATAACTTGCATATGGGAGGCAGAGTAAATCTGCTGGCTCTTTGAAAGAGCTACCAACTAGTTCCACTCGCCCAGTTCTTAGCCGATAACCTATCCAATTCCTTCTTGAAAGCTATCATTAAATCTGCTTCCAGCAGTCTATCAGGCGGTGCATTCCAGATGGTAACAACTCTCTAAAGTAAAAAAAAATGTCTCCCCGTCTTCCCCTCAGGTTCTTTTGCCAATTATCTTAAACCTGTGTCCTCTGATTAATGACCCACCCGCCCGCCAGAGGAAACAGTTTATCTACTCTATCAAAACCCCTATTGCTTGTCATATGTTGTAGTTGCAAGTTTTGAGCTCTTTGGGTATTAACAATGGACCAACCCTCTTCCACGGATTACAGTATATACTGTAGTTTGAGACACAACACGTCAACGACTGCCGGGATGGTGGAAGGTGAATTGGATGGACCTTTGGTCTTCTTTCATCTAGCAAATTCTTATGTTCTTAAGGTCAGGGTATGGTTCTTTATCTGGGTCACTCATTGCTTTATTGATCAGCCCTTAAGGTAGGGCTTTAGGGAGGGAGGGGAGGTGAAACCACAGCCATTTGGAATCAGCAACAAAACCGAACACTACTGCTATCGGCCTGATGAACGAAAGCTGAGCGGGGAGCGATGAGGAGCTGAGATTGAGCTCACGTTTCCTTTGCGATTGTACGCTTTGTATTAAACGCGACTTGTGCTTTGTGGTGTGGATGTACGTGTGTCTAGTGGGGTGATTTGCTGTACTGTAAGGGACTGTCTAAAGGTGTGAAATAAACGTAGCTCTGACGTGAACTTTGCGGTCGTGCTTGTTGGGAGCGGAATGGTGTTTTACCGTCTCTGTTTTACACAACAGCCTAGTTGGGATGTTGACTTAAAATCTGGCTCTAGCCTCCAGCTGGTCTCTCATCCCCTCCGCTCCACCATCGCCAGCCACTACGCTCCGAAGGTTTGGAACTCTCTTCCCCCAATCCCTCTGCCTTGGCCCCTCCTTCCCCTCTTTTAGATCACGAGTGCGAACCTTCCTCTTCGACCACGCTTACGGTCACCTTCTCCCTTCTCTCAAGACCGAAGAGTTCCCCCAGCCTAGCATGTCTCATGGTTGCAAATGGTGCTGTTCTTTGCTCTCAACATCCCTGATTCACATTTGCTGCTTCCACAGCCCGCGGTTGAGTATTGAACGTGGGGTCCACGCAGTGTGGCAGCTTCTGTGGAGTCCTGTCGCTCAGTGGTTAGAGCACTCGCCTCCCAAGCGAGAGGACCCGGGTTCAATTCCCGGGCGGGCAGGGCGAAACATTTTCCTTACTCCACACACGCGCCTCTGTTTACCCAGCAGTAGTAGGAACCTACTAGTTGTTAGTCGATTGTCGGATCGATTTTCCGGAGGCAATAATCCCCTTTTTTAACAAAAAATCATAATTTGGTCACTAAATTGGCTGCCGCGTTTCGCCCACAAAATACACGGTCACTGTACTTTACAGTATATTCTGTGGATCCCTTTGAGACGTGATAAGGCACTATATCAAATGCAGGGATTATTATTATGATTAGGATGGATGACTCAACTCCTCAAAGTGGGGCGGGAATCTGTCACTTTCTGGCCCATTATTGGGTGGTGTGAGTGCTTGATTCTGAGCAGGAAGATTGGGTGTATGAGTTAGAAGTTGGGATACTTCACATTAGAACAGCATTAATGTCATAGACTGTCGCACAAAAGGGCTCTATCGCTGTTCCAGAGTGTGCATTTGTGAATGAATATAATAACTGATATCAGAGGTCAATCAGGCTGATAAGGAATAAAGTACTTTCTCTCTTTACTCCGGAAGCAGCCAGCTTCAGTTTTAAAGTGCTTGCTATATTTAGTTCTGGCTCAAGTCAACCCTTATCTTCGTGTCCATATTTGACAGAGTGCACAAATTGTTGTAATGGCAGTCCCGTTCTCTGTGACTGAGTTTGGAGTCGAACCAAAATCTTTATGCCCAACTGAAATTTGACAACTCGACAAATAAATCGGTCGGTCGGTTCACAGCTGTTTGTGGGGGCTCAGCTGGGCGCAATTTGGCTGCCGTGTTTTACCTTACAAAATACGCAGTCACTACAATTTACAGTATACTCTGCATTTTGTGGGCAGAACGCAGCAGCCAGTTTAAGGTTATTAAGATAAATAATTCAGGATAAGATTACATTAACTCTGCAATATTAATGGTCGCTTCCACTGAGGATCCACTGATTCTGTGATCAAACACAACGATAGAAAATTAGGCAGAGAGCAGCAGATGGTACCCACCACCCCCCCCCCCCCTCTTTCTGCAGTTAAAATTGCCCATTTCTCGCTCAAAGCGCTATACTGGAAAGTGTGGTGACTGTGCGTTTTGTGGCAGCCAATTGCATACGGCAGTGTCCCACAAACGGTCGCGGACTGAGTGACCAAATGTTTTTTTTTTTTGGAGGGATTATTACCCTCGGAAAGCATTCCGCCAATCAGCTAACAACCGCGGGTTCCCTCCTACGCCTAGGTGTAGGTGGGACGCAAGGAATTCTCAGTTTGATCTGGAGACTCTTAAGCACGGAGATGGGTTTCCGCGTGTGTCAGACACCCGGCTGACTTTATATATAAAAAAAACACGCACGCAGAGAGCCGCGCAGAGACCTGGGTTTCAGCTCCGTGTTCCATTCAATCGTGTTCATGAATAAAACAAGCACGAAGGGGAACAACATTTCGTGAGAGCATCCGGTGTTTGAGGGTTTGGGAGTCTGACCTATTTTCTTTGCCTATATTCTCAGGCTCCCTCTCTGAGGGACAGCAGAACTAATCAGATTTCCCTTCCTCTTAGATCCGAGTTTATTCATCGCTGTCTCTCGTTCTACACTTTTACAAACTCAGCCCTTAAAGACACAGTCCCCTCACCTGAAATGAAATCATTCACCCAAATCAGTCTGTGCGTCTGAGAGGTTTTAATAGGGTGTTGTGTGTTGCAGCGTTGGGAGACGGGTTTATGGGCTGTGCTAAGGTGCTTAGTAATAATAATTTGGTCACGCAATCCACGACTGTTTGTGGGACGTCGCTGTGCACAATTGGCTGCCGAGTTTTGCCCACAAAACACACAGTCGCTACACTATACAGTGCATGCTGTGAAGTGCTTTAAGAAGTCTCGACGACGTGATAAGGCGCTATATCAAATGCAATGATTATTGTTGCTGTCATAATTTCTTTCGAACTCAAGGCTATCGCCTCTCCGTTCACAGGATTGCAGTTCGCTTGCCGTTATGTAGTTACCTTTACAGTTATCTTTAAAGCCCCCCCATGGCCGTACTCCTCCCTACCTCTGCCACCTATTCAAGTTTCACCAACCTGCCCGCTCCTTCCGCTCTGCAAGCACTGGCAAGCTCCACGACCCCTGCCCTGCCCTCTCCACTATCGGCAGTCGGGCCTTCCGCCTTTCTGCTCCTCCATCCTGTGGAACTCCATCCTTGAGTCCCTCTGCCTCAGCCCCTCCATTGCCTCCTTCCAGTCCTGTCTCAAGACCTTCTTTTCCGACCTTGCCTTCAGTCACCCTCCTACCCCTACCTTCCCCGTCCTCCATCCCACTCTGATACCAACCACCAGCTCGGGTGTGGATCCCTGACTGTCCAGCACCGTGGGATGTCCTCCGGACGTGAAAGGCGCCGTGTAAATGTCACTCGTTGTTGTTGTTACTGTCTGGGGCCTTTTGGAGGATGTCTCAAAGCGCATCGCATTTACTGTGTGGTGCAGTGACTGGGTAATTGTAGGAGAAACGCGGCAACCAATATGCGCACAGTGATGTCCCCGCAAATAGCCATGAAGTGAACGACCTATTTTATTTGTGGGAAGAGGAAGTATTGTCAGGTTATGTGTACGTGTGATATTTTTAAGGAAATGCACGTTTTGGATGTGAGCAGAGGGCGTTTTGCAAGTGTTATTTTCGAACCGAACAAATGACAAACTCGACTGAAACAGATGGTGAGCGAGGAGCAGCAAGAGGAGCCAGTTTGGTGCTCGAGTGTTAAAGGGACCAACCGGGCCACAAGGAGTTAGTTAGCTTGGCTTGCGGTGTGTTGAATAGCGTTCATCCCAAAATGTGAAGGAGCTGAGCCTGGCATGGCAGGCAGGCAGGCAGGCAGGCAAAGTGCAATGACTTTCCACTCGCTCGACTCCATCGCTTGCTGCCTGAAGCTCCTCTGAAACAAGTGATCGCTTGGCTTTGCTTTATCTGCTCAAGTGCATCTGACACACACTGAAACAGCTCATGACGTCCACTTTGTTTTTTTTTTGAAAAAAAGACTTGCAGTCTCGTTGTCGGGCTTTTCAAAGATCCGTTTGTCTTTCCTGCTCACTCAGTGTGTGTGTGTGTGTGTGTGTATGCGCGTCCCTCTCTGTCACTCTTTCCCTCTCTATCTCTCTCTTCCTGACGTGAAAGACGCTATACAAATGTAATTTGTTGTTGTCTCTCTCTCTCTCTCTCCCTCTATTCAAAGTCTGAGCGTCTTGAATAATGCTGCAACGACCTTGTCAATTGTAGTTCCTGTTATATGTTTGGTATCTAGGTGTGTGTGTATATATATATGGTGTGAATTTGATGCAGTTATTTGGCCAATTTCAGCCTCCTGTGTATTTGTGTTCTGTGTTATGTTTTTCTCTCTCGCCCTCCACACCTCTCTCCCTCTCTGTCCCTTTCTGGCTCCGTGAATTGGACAAGTTTGTCCATTTCATGTCAGTTCCATGGGGCCAGTGTATCCCAAGGGGAAACTTCCCTTCCAGCGCCCTCCTTGAACTGTGGCGTCGGAGACGAGATATGTCCTCTGGTTCCTGGGATCTTCACCTTGAGGATATGGAGATGGAAGCGTTGAGATTTTATCCTGACAACAGCAGCGACAGCGGAGAGCGCGACCAAGATGGGTTGAAGAACCATAACTTCAGCGGCTCGGAGAAAGTGCTCATTGGGATAGTCCTGAGCCTCATCGTGGCTGGCACGGTGATGGGCAACACTCTGCTGGTGATTTCCGTGTGCGTGGTCAAGAAACTCAGACAGCCCTCCAACTACCTGCTGGTGTCGTTGGCCGTGGCTGATCTGTCGGTGGCCACTGCTGTCATGCCTTTCGTTATCGTGACCGACCTGACCGGGGGCCGGTGGCTGTTTGGGAGGATTTTCTGTAACATATTCATCTCCATG